CCTCATGCAACAGAGTGAAACACTGCCTGGTCCTGCACCAGCCTCTCAGTCCTTGCTGTACTCGAGCCCATCATTGCAGCCACGATGTCAATCCATACTGTTGAAGGTCTTCCCCTTTTTCGCTGACCCTCTACTTTAAGCATGATATCTTTTTCCAGGAATGGTCCTTTCAGACAACATGACCAAAATAGGTGAGATGAAGTATGGACATTCTCGCTTCCAAGGAGCATTTTGGCTGCACTTCTTCCTGCACAGATTTGTTTGTTCTTCTGGTAGCCCATGGTACTTTCAGTATTCTTCACCAACAACAACATCAACTCTTCTTCAGCATTCCTTATTCATTGTCCAGCTTTCATATGAGGTGATTGAAAATGCCACAGTTTGGGTTAGTTGCACCTTAGTATCCAAAGTGATATTTTTGTTTCTTAACACTTTAAAGAGGTCTTTTGTGGCAGATTTGCCCTGTGCAATATGACGTCTGATTTCTTGACTGCTTCCATCAGTGTTGATCATGGATCCAACTAAAACGAAATCCCTGACAACTTCAATCTTTGCTCCATTTGCTATAATGTTGTTTATTGGTCTAGTTGTGAGGATTTTTGTTTTCTTTATGTTGAGGTGTAATCTGCACTGTAGACTGTAGTCTTTAATATTCATCAGTAAGTGCTTCAAGTCATCTTCATATTCATCAAGCAAGGGTGAGTCATCTGCATATTAATGAGTCTTCCTTCAATCCTGATGCCACATTCTTCTTCATATAGTCCAGCTTCTTGGATTATTTGCTCAGCATATAGATTAAATAAGTATGGTGAAAGGATACAAACCTGACACCCACCCTTCCCTGTTTCAAACCATGCAATATCCTCTTCTGTTCTAACAACAGTCTTTTGGTCTATGTACAGGTTCCTCCTAAGCACGATGAAATGTTCTGGAATTCCCATTCTTCTCAATGTTATCCGTCATTTGTCATGGTCCACATGGTCAAATACTTTTGCACAGTCAATAAAGCACATGTAAACATCTTTCTAGGATTCTTTGCTTTCAACCAAGATCCATCCAACATCAGCAATGCTATCCCTCATTCCATGTCCTCTTCTAAATCCAGCTTGAATTTCTAGACCTTCCCTGTCAATATACTACTGCAACCATTTTTTAATTATCTTCAGCAAAATTTTACTTTCACGTGATATTAATGACATTGTTCTATAATTTCTACATTCTGTTGGATCACCTCTCTTTGGAATGAGCACAAATACGGATCTCTTCCAGTCAGTTGTCCAGGGAGCTGTCTTCCAAATTTCTTGGCATAAACAAGTAAGCACCTCCAGTGCTGCATCTATTTGTTAAAACATCTCAAGGGGTATTCCATTCCTTGTTTTTTGCCAATTCCTTCAGTGCAGCTTGGACTTCTTTCAATAATATTAGTTCTTCATCATATGCTACCTGCTGAAATAGGTGAACATTGACCAATTCTTTTTGGTAAGGTGACTCTGTCTCTCTCTTCCTTCCATCTTCTTTTGATGCTTCCTGCATCATTCAATATTTTGCCCACAGAATCCTTCAATATTGCCACTTAAAGCTTGAATTTTTTCTTCAGTTCTTTCAGCTTGAGAAATGCTGAGTGTGTTCTTCCCTCCCACAGTTTAGGAGAGTAGAATCCCGAATTCAGGGCACCAGTACAAGGGGACGGCCCTTTCTGTTTGCTCTGAGAGAAACCCTTGTCTCAGCTTCTCTAACATTCTTCCTGATGTTCCTTGGATACGTCCATGTGGTATTGATCTTCCCCCATATGTCCTTGTTTGGTTCTGTGACTAATCCACTCCTGTTATATGTCAAAAGTGATTGGTTTAAGACACAGCTTACACTGACTTGGCCTCATTAACATAACAGAGAAAGCTTTTTTCCCAAATAGGATTACATCCACAGCTGTAGGGGTTACAATTTACAATACATATTTTGGGGGATATAATTTAATCTATAACAATGGTCCATACCTTTGACTCCCCGTAAATGCCTTGAGTGGAGCACTGACTCATATGAAATCACATTGCCTCTCCTCAGGGAAATGATACTGCTTAGAAAACTTGAGAAAAGGGTACAAATTTTCTACCAAAAGCTGAGACTTCCTCATTTCCTGAGAGGTTTTTTGAGATTATATAACAAGGCAAAATTTTCTAATAAGAAGTTTGGAAAACTTTTTTCCCTACTCTCTTAGGAAATGACAGTGGTTTCAATTTTGAGATATCCTGTCTGATGGTGGAGAGATTTCTGTGGTTAGGGGCACTAGCAATCTACTTCTCCATCTCCTCCCTCCATAAGGCTGACTACTCTCAGTGAGGCTAGGTTCTCCCAGATGGCACCTGGGCATTGGATAACCAGGGCTTTTGACGCATTTCAGGGCCATGTAGACAGCAGGAGTGGCCACATAGGCAATACTGTGACCACTGCAGTCATAAATTCATAAGACAGCTAGCCTAATGACCTACAACTGTAATTTATGAACACTTACTTTCTAAATACTCCCACCCATCTGTTTGTTATATTGTGGTATATGACATGTTGCCATGCTGGGTATTTCATGGATCAGTAGGATTGGCCATGGTGGATAGGTTTCAGTGGAGCTTCCAGAATAAGACAGAGTAGGAAGAAAGGCCTGGTGATGTGCTTCTGAAAATTAGCCAATGAAAACCCTATGGAGCACAACAGAATTTTCTCCACTACAGGCTGGGAGATGGTGCAGCTCCAAGCAATGTTTCTTTCTGTTTATATGAGTTGGAGCTGACTCGATGGCAACTAACAATGACATTTGCTAAATAAAATATCCAGGCACTCGTTGACAGAAAGCAGGTAGCAAGAAGGGAACCTTTGAACCAGTGGATTGATTAGTGTATTTTACAAAGAGAGTGTTTGTTAACCCAAGTTTATGCTTATTTGAAAACAAATCCAGTTGAAGAAAAATCAGTGATAACTTCAGAATATTTCTTCAACTTTCCTAAGACTCCACAATTGCCAGACATCAATTGATGGAGTAAAAGAGTAACAAGAAAATAATGCAATAAATTTTTTTTTTAAGTTCATATAAAATAATTATGACAAGAAAATATCCTGGGAGCATTTTATTAAAACCAATAACAAAAGTACCTCTTGCTTAAGACAGGAGGTGGCTACCCTGAACTGATTCTGGTATTCGTACCAGGTCAGGAGCTCTGGTGGCATAGTGCCTAAAGCATTTGACTGTTAACCAGAAGGCTGGTGGGTTTGAACCACCAGCTACTCCTCAGAAGGAAGGCTGGGCGATTTACTTCTGCTGAGGGATGGGCAGTATGAGTCAAATTGACTTGATGGCAGTGAGTTGTTAACAGTGTGTGTGAGAGAGAGAAAAAGAGGCTGTGATTGACGGCAGTGAGTTTTTAAGAGAGAGAGAGAGAGTGTGTGTGTGTGTGTGTGTGTGAAAGAGAGAGAGAGGGGGGCTGTGATTAATCTGTTGTTCCTTAGTCCCAGGCTCTTCTCTCCAAGGTCTCATATTTAGAAAAGTAATATTGACTTATTTGACAACCAAAACAATTTTCTTCAATTGAAAATTATTGTCAGAGCCACGAGCCATGGAATTTCCCCAGCTCTCTCAGCAAGATCAATTTGTCATCATTACCTTCATGAAAGGTAAAGTCCACCTCCCTACTGTTGCTAGACTGACCGATGAGGGAAAAGGCATTTCTGGTTCATCCAGTCTTCTTGGGAAGCAGCTGAATAGAGAACATGGGGAAGATCAATGTACCATAAATCAGTGAGAAGACTTTGATTCTTACAGATTTCAAAGACATTTTTTTATTATTATTAAATGTGTTGTAAAACAGGAAGTAAAAGATCCAGGCGGCTCATTTTCTGGGTCCCTGGCAATGAATGTTGCCAACAGCATTCCGGGGTATGGAGGGGAAATGCCAGGGAAGGATGACAGCCTCAGCTCTGGGCTAGTGGCTTGTTGGTTATTGATCGGAAAAGGACTCATCAAAGTGAACAGGTAAGCCATTTTCGCAGGCAACAACAATCTTTCTGAAGTCTGATGTGGCTCTGTACCGGCATGGCGGCAAGGGGGATCCTCCTACCTGCCTGCAAGTAGTGACCTGGAAAGAAGACTTGCTTATTCTTAAATCTGGCCCATAAGGGATTCCATTCTTATTTTCACAGATGGCTTTGATGCTACCCTTGTTGCCGTGAACGAAGGTGTTGTACTCTTTGCAGGGTGTGGTCAGGCCTCGTCTCTCCATCATGCTCCCACAATATCTGTCATTCCGGCCCTTTGGTTTGGCATCATAGTGTTGGGTCAGGAAGTGTTTGTACCTGGAGGCATCTTGAGTCAGGGTTGGTGGGGTCAGACCTAGAGCCAGCATGAAGACCAACAGTAGGGAGCCCAGGCCCACCACCATCTCTTCCAACAGAGGCCTGCCAAGGGCAAAAGGAGGAGTACATCACAGCATTGCCAAATTAGGCTGAAAGAAAGGGGATTTTTTCTTTTTGACAGGGCTTCAAGAATCAGGTATCCTCAGTCACCTACTTCTATCTTTTCTTTTCCGTTCTTCATTAACCTCACACCTCTTGTCAATCCATTCCTTTGGAAAGCCTATTTAATAGTTTCTTGAACACAACTTCAGCCCCAACCATTCTTTCTTATCCTTTAGGATCACTGAGTATTCACTTTTTGTATCAGTCTTAGCATTACAAAATCCACCCACACTCTTTAATTCATGTATTAATTAGTTTGGTAACAAATATTACATAAGCCCTACTGGGTACCAAGGACTGTGGTCAGTCCTGGGAACACAAAGGCCATTAAGACACATCGAATGCCTCCTCAAAAGGAACATGTGGCATCTACGGGGAAGGGGAGTTCCAATGACTGAGATGAGATAATTATATGGAAAGTAAGAGCTGTGAAGAAGAGGGGTTTTGGGAGATCCTGAACACAAAGAAAGGTCAATCAAGACAAAGTTCCAGGATGGGTCTATTAGCCAGCTGTGAAGGGAGCAGTTTCACCCTGAGGTGAAGGGAGACAGTCCTAGTTCCCCAAGAAGCAGATGGTTCGTGCTCAGACATGGAAGTGCTGGATAGTGTTTGGAAAGAACAGAAGGGTTTGGAAGAGGCCACATAATGCTTAGCCATGAGTCTGGGGTCA